TCAAATTCTAACCAATAGAAATAAGTGCGAAATTTGTCACCCCCCAAATCAGGGCTTGAGAAACTATTTAAACCACCACCTTTTAGAAATAGACTCAGAATTTCATCAGACAGCAAATTGTAAGAGTCTTGTGAAACATATTGTGAAGGATAGAAAGAAGCAAGCAGTATTTTTGTGCGGTATGGATTCGTCATGGAGTTTTGAAAAAGGTAATTACATATGTACATAGTTATTATTGTGAGATTTGTTTTATTTTAACACATTGTTGACCGGTAATTAATTTCAAACATGAAGTAAACATGATTGAACACAACGAAGAAAGATTTGATAATATCCTATATTACAGTAAAACCTGGATAAATTCAACGAAAGAATGCTTGGATAAATGAAACATCGCTATCCCCTCCACTTGGGGGGATCCCCCTAGGCGAGCCGAGCCGCTCGACGAGGAAACCGTGTAATATGATCCGACCGTAATATCCGTGTGACTAATACTAATTCAATGATAAAACTTTTTTATTTTTAACTTTCTCTCAATGAAACTTTTACTAATGCATTTGTGAGATTTTTCTGATTAAAATGATACCAAACACGATATAGGTTGAATGATATTTATTTATTAAAATAATAATAAAATGGTACATTATAATAAAAATTGTCATATATTGAAATGAATAAGGTTTGAAGGATAAAAAATAACGCATCAAAAGTTATGGAGTTCGTTGACAAAGGGAAGATGCAGTAAAAACGACGAATAATCAGATCATCTTTGTACGACGCATTGCAGTAAAATTTGCTGAATTGGTTCATCGAAAGAAGAACTCTTGGTGATTTCATAACGAATGCCGTAATTATGGACAAAACAACAGAATTAAAGAACAGTATGGGGTTGACATTCGATTTTAAAGTTAGTACGAGCTGGTAAGATGGATTTAAAAAAAGACATAATATACGTTTAGTGAAAATTTATGGGGAAAGTGCAAATGCTGTTATCCGTCCAGTTGTGAAGAAGAAGAACCAAGAAAATCCAGTACGAGGATGTTAATCATTAGTGCCTAAAAAATAAAAATTAATTATTAAAATGAAAATTATGTTTATAATTTTTATAAAATTATACAACTGTACTTATAATGAATATTAAACATTACCTAATACATGGGTTTTGATGACTTTAAACATATCTCGAATAACAGGCGGTTGTAGAGATAGATGCGAGTCCACACGCTCAAACAAATGTTGCAGCCCCTCTTGTTCATTAGGTTGTTCGTCTGCATTTTCTTGCATCTCATCTTCTTCCTGCTCTTCTCTATCTTCCTCGTCTATGAATGTTCTTCTTTCTTGTTCATCACAATTGGACATAAATTGTACAATATCTTCTTGTACGTATGATTCATTTGTTAAGGTGCTTATGTCTTCCCTCATAGCACGACGATACGAATCTTCCTGATTGGGAATAATTTTTTTCCAGGAATTAATGATATTGTTGGCAGATACTTCCCTCCATGATTCGTCCAAAATTTGTATACAATCTTTTAGTGTAAATTGCTTCTGAAATTCATTTATCCCGCCTTGATATGTAATCGCTTTCCTTATCGCTTTATGGCGATACACTGCTTTCATTTTGGCTATTATGCCCTGGTCCATTGGCTGTATTACACTGGTCGTGTTAGGAGGAAGATACATAATCTTAAAATTGTCTTTATCTAATAATTCTTCCGGCACTTTATGTCCTCCACAATTGTCTAATAATAATATAACTTTACCGGTCAGTCCGTTTCTTAATTGATGTGCCCGTACACTGGGCTTAAAATAATGTTCAAACCACTCATAAAATAATGGCTGCGTTATCCACGCATTCTTCTGCGATTTAAAAATAACAGGAAGATTGCTTCTGCAATGTTTCAAAGCCCTAGGATTTTCGTATTTATTAATCACTAGCGGCATTAGCTTGTGCGTCCCAGATGCATTCGCACATAGCGCCACCGTAATTCGCTCTTTGCGACTTTTGTATCCCTTCACAACCCCTTCTTCTCTTCCTGCCAAGGTCTTCGATGGTAAGGCTTTCCATAAAAGCCCAGTTTCATCCATATTGTAGATGTTATCTATATTTATACTGTCATCTTCCAATAATTTAGTAAAATCGTCACAAAATTGTTTCGCGGAATCTTGATCAGCACTTGCACTTTCCCCATAAACTTTCACTAAACGTATATTATGTCTTTTTTTAAATCCATCTAACCAGCCCCTACTAACTTTAAAATCGAGCGGCAACCCCATACTGCACTTTAATTCTGTTACTTTGTCCATCATTACGGCATTCGTTATGAAATCACCAAGAGTTCTCCTTTCGGTGAACCAAGCCAGCAAATTTTGCTCCAATGTATCGTACAAGATGGTTTGATTCTTCGTCGTTTTCGCTGCATCTTCTCTTTGTTAAGGAACTCCATAATTTTTGGTGCATTATTTTTTATCCTCCAAATCGTTGTCCGATTCACTTTATATTTTTTGGCCACGAGCGGAACACTAAAAGTTTTTAAGTCCTCTAAGACTTGCAATCGTTCCTCTAAGGATAGAGTTACTTTCTTTCTGGTCGCCATTTCAAACACTTTAACCATTCACTAAGTATCGACAGTTCGATTGATTCTGGTGCCGGGTAACAATTTGTTTTCGTTGAAGTCACCTCGCACGGGGTGATTTTGGCGGGGGTGACCTACTCGGATTGGTAAAATCGGTTCTCACTGATTTTTCTCATTGGTTGAACATATTTGGCAGTGGTACTATGATAGTCACCGCCTTCGACTAACGGTTGTCTCAGGTACCGAAGCTACCCCTGTGACATCGAGGAAATTCCACGTGGTTGCGAAGTGACCGTGGCGGGCAATAAACTGAGGAACCGTTTTAACTCTGACAAAACATATTGGGAATAAAGAACCCCAAAATGAAACATACAAATCCCGAGGCAACAGAGGTAGACAATCAACACGAAAATATTTCTAGGAAAGTAGTAAACTGGTCGATGGCTTCATAAACTTATTGTTACCACGGTTGAGTTCAGAATATTTTTCAGCTGCGGAACTATTGACTGCAAATTAGGTGCTTTATGATGTTAGGAAAACTCCGTGATTTCCATGAAACCGGGCAGTTTCTTCCTATTGAAAATTAAAGTAATTTACGAGCTAAGAATAATAATAGAATAAATAAACAATAGTAATAGAATAAACAATAGTAATAGAATAAACAATAGTAATAGAATAAACAATAGTAATAGAATAAACAATAGTAATAGAATAAACAATATAGAATTGACACCACGACTGAATATAAATGATGTCGGCTGAATACAAAAGATGTGTACGGACATAGAATCGGCATGTCGGCTGCAAAGAAAACATGTGTACGGACACAGAGTCGGCATGTCGGCTGCAAAGAAAACATGTGTACGGACTCAGAATCGACACCTCGCTTGGATAAATGAAACATTAAATGCCCAGAATCGACTCCTTGCTTGAATAAATGAAACATTAAATGCCCGGAATCGACTCCTCGCTTCAATAAATGAAACATTAAATGCCCAGAATCGACTCCTCGCTAGGATAAATGAAACCTTTGAAACCAAAGCCGACACCGCCATTGGTTTGGATTTCGATCTCTCTTGCTTTTCGCCAACTTATAACATCAATTTTAGCAAGTAATTATAACTGAAACTATATCGTGTTTGGTACCACTTTACTCACAAAAATCTCACCAATGCGCTAGTAAAAGTTTCACTCAAAAAAAGTCAAAAATAAAAAAGTTTTTTGATTCAATTAGTATTAGTCACACCGATACGTTTCGGCTCTTTCCTTTGATCATGAGACCTCTCTCTTGCCACCACTGTCTGTCCCTTTCTACGTTCATGCTTGGCTGGTCGTCGCATCTAATTCGAGATTCGACATCTCGGCTACATGCATGCAACGTCTGGTTCCCAATCTCTGTTGCATATATTCAGCTTTTACTGTATATGTAGACGCGAGGTCCCTCCATTTATTAGTTCTAATAGTACCATAGTACTTTTTTATGCAGAATGTTTCAAAGAGTTGACACAAGTAAAAAAACAATGCAATTCCATTTAAATAAAAAGTGGATTTGCATTTTTGAGTGCATCGTTGCATTCACGGAGAAGATGAAATCACAGAAAAGTAGACATTATCATACCATTAAACTTTTACATAAACAGCTTTTTCCTATCTCTTATCAAATTCAAGATATAACCCGTCAGAAATTGCATGACGTAACCTGTATATTTTTATTAATTAAGAAACATTTATTTAAAGAAGTTAATAACTTTTTCTAAAAAGTTTCTCAGATTGCACGTTCCTTCGGTTCTTCAGAGTAGGCATATATTTTTCAGCAGCGAGGGGTGCTACGGTGCGCTATATAAAGTCCACGCGTTCAGTCAGTCAGAATTTATCGGAGCGGGACAATTCTATCATTTAGGTTGAAAGAAGGATAGTATGATCACCCTACATCTCACTCAAACCACGCGCCAATGTTTCGCTTTCGTTCTTCAGGCGGATCGTCGCGATGCCTCTGGCCACAGCCGACTCTAGTACTAGCCGTGCTGAGGTAAAAATGGCAACACCGCGGGAGTCTGGTCTGAATATATCAACACTCTGATTATATCAGAGTGCCTTCCGGACTCCGAGCCTCCCACTATCGTCAGACTCCCAGCTACACGAGTTCCATCTACCGGCCGTTTAGTTTCCCGCTTATTTTTCAAGAATATATATATGTATATGTCATCTGTAGCAACATAAAGCCTTTTAAACAATAATAATAAAGATAAGTACAATAACATAGATAAAGTTTATTTATTTATATTAATTCCTCGGGTCCTTTTTTGTGTGTAGCATTTTCATTTAACAGAATTTATAGTTTTTTCAATATATTTCAAATCAATATTAACAATATTATCATATATGTATATTATATATATAAATTTTTATAATTACAACGTCATATTTATTATATATAAAGTTTTTTACAAATTTCATATTAAATTTATTAATTAATAATGCCACGGCGTTGCTGTGTTCCCACTTGTAAGGGAAATTGCGACAGCACTTTAAAAGATAACAATTATATCTCAATATTCTTGCTACCTAAAGATGAGGAATTACGGAAAAAATGGATAGCTGCTATTCCTCGTAAAAATTAGACACCAACAAAATATTCTGCAGTATGCAGTCTGCATTTTGCAGAAACTGATATTGAAAGGTATCAGAGTATTTTATCTCCATCTGGTGTACTGGAAAATGTTTTGTTGAGGTGTCCAAGGCTTATTGCGGATGCAGTGCCTTCCATTTTTCCTAATTTACCTTCATATCTTACAAAACATGTGCTACCACAGAGGAAAGATCCTGCAGAGCGTCAGGAAAGAATTATTAACAATAATGACAATTTAGTTAAACAATTTATTGAATTTGATTTAATTAATAACTTTACAGGCTTAATGAATACTTATAAAGTAAAACTTATTATTGCTAATTGTTGGAACGTTAAAGTTACCAATTCAAAAATTTATTTTTATATGCTTGTAAATAATGATTCTGATTTTTTGACAGTTTCAACACAGATCGTGATTGCTGATGACATGACATTAGAAATTTGTGATATATCCTATCTTTTACCAGGAAAATTTACTACAGAAAAATTAGAAAAACGATTTGGAAATTACCGACTTCTATCCGGTTGTAATTATCATATTTCATATAATGAAGCACTTCATGCAGAGAAAAAAATTAGATTAAAACATATATTTACAAAATCGGCAGTTTCGTTTTCTTTCACTGACATTAAAGATAAATTTCAAATTTGTGATACAAGTGGTGATGATCTTCATGATCTTTCCATTGACGTAACTTCTTTTCAGGAAATATTTGATTCTGACTATTTGTCCAATTGTGTTATAGATGATTCGGTGATACTATATACATATAGCTGGCTATGGGTCCCATGCAGTTGCTAAAAAATTAAATTGTAACATCTGCCAATTATTAGTTGTGAAGGATAAAGGTGCAACTTTAAATAATACGTATTTCGATCACTTACAAAGAGGAGGCCTTTCTATTCCTACTGAAGAAGTGGTAGCCTCATTTACACATATATATGCAATAATGGAAGCCATAATAAATGATGCCAATTTAGAGTCTCAATTTTTGCGTTCTGAAAACCATAAACATATTTTACTTAAATTAACACACATTAGTATTCAATCAGATATTCATTATTTATCATTTTCAGATACATGTATTTGTGGTAAAAATTACCACAGTATTTTGTTTCAATTATTATCAATTTTTTCAAATATTTTATTAAATGATTATGTAAAAACTATAAATAATAGTCAATTAGAAATACATACCAACACCGTTTCTAAAAATCGCAAATTAAAAACTTTTAACAGAAATTAGATTTTCAATGCCCTTTGTTTTTAAATTTTGTTAAATTTACATTTATTTATATCTCTTATATTTTTGTTATTAAAAGCTATTTCACACAAGATTTAACGTTCTATTAGCAATTCAGGAGAATGTGAAAGTATGTTTTGTTACATTTCATTACTAATATTATTTAAGAATATTTATTATTATTTCAAAACCTCAATTTTAATACTCAATTTTTCTATTTACATAAGAAGTTTATATTTTTAGTTCCTGGAAATAATTGCCAAAGTTATATTTTTGTTATTTTATTGTTATTGTTATTTAAGATTATTTTATTTACTGTTGCCTATTATAAAATTTAAGATTTCCTTTTCTTATTTTAAAGTTTATTTGTTTTCTTTTAATTAAAGTGATATATAAAATTTTCTTTTACGGAGAATCGAAAGTTATGTTTTATTTTGAAAGATTAATTTTATTTTATAAAATGGGATGATATGGCTATTGACGAACCACCCATTATAATAAAAAAGGGTAACGCGCCGAAGTAATACCCCTAGGGTGGTGAGGAAATTTACAATTTTAAGGTGATGCAAGCGTCGAAAACTTTACCGAAAGTCCCTAGAAAAATCCCTAGACGCGAGTTTTCAAATTACGTCCTCATTTCTAAACAGAATGTAAAAAAATTTGTGGGGCGTGTTCAGGAGGTTCTAAAGAATATTTGTCTGGTCCTTATATTATCCAAATCGTCAAAAACTTATAAAATATTGAAATTACTGTCTGTCAACGGTCAAGAAAATGGCGGAACGGACTCACCTGCATTGATTTATTCATAATATAAACATTTCTGCCAATAGTTTGTCCAAATAGGGACCAGACTGATATTCTTTGGGTCGGATAGAATAAAACGAGCACCCAAGGGATGATGTACAAGTCTCCAGGTAGAAGTAATTTGAAAACTACGATTTCGTTGATTGTTCATTCGCGAAAGACGTCAACAAGGTAAAACAGACCAGAAATTTAGTTCCTCGTTTTTTCTGTAGGGCGCAGTTTGTTCGTTTTCTGTGCTTGACCGCGCGCTCATTCGCAGTTCGTATATGTGAATATGTGTGCGTCGACCGAACAGTCGACGACGATACAATGTATCGTGGAGAATGGGAAGTTCGAGTCTTGAAGAGGCGATGAACTCCGACGCGTAAATTTTTTTTCACGCATCGTTCTATTGACTATGATAGCGATTTTCAACCCATGTGTCACAAGACGTACTATGATTATTTTTTGTTGCTATTATTATTCTTTTTTTTAGTGAAACTGAATAACAAATACGTCCTTCCCGATTTCGATGATTTTTTGATATGTTATAAAAATTGATATTCTGAACAATTTGGTGAAATACTGATTACTTATGAAAAGCACCCCAAAAATAAATAAGTTGCCAGAGTTATTAAAATATTTTTAGACAGATAAGTTAGTATGTTTTTTCAGCATAGAATGTGATATTATGCTGGACTCTCCTGATTTTGCGTTATGCCCAAATATTGGATGAATAGGTAACGAAAATGTGATGCTGGAAGAACAACACGGCTGGAGCGAGTTCTTCAATGTTGGCGAACGTAGAAAAGGGCAAATAGCGAAAGAGAAAGAGGTCCGAGAATTAAAGGGCCTGAGAAAAAACATTTGAGTGAAACAATATTAATTCAACAATAACTTTTTTATTTTTCATTTTTGCTAAATAAAACTTTTACCAATGTAATTGTAAGATTCTTCTGATTAAAATAAGACCAAACACCATATAATTTGCATTATTTTTACTTATTTAGATATAAATAAGTAAATAAATAATTATAATTCAAATTATGCCATGTTTGATCTTGTTTTAATCAGAAAAATCTCATAAATACGTTAGTAACATTGTCATTAAAAAAAATTCAAAAATAAAAAGGTTTTAATCTTAAATTGTGATTGTGTTAGTATTGTCTCACACGTACATGGGTATTTAAACATGCTTTTTTCCCTGTACGCTGCTTCGATTCTCGGCTGTAACCACATCAAAGGCAAGCCGAACTCGCTCGAGAAACTGTGGTTTCTCGGCACACGCAAAAATTGGTCTGATTCATCGTACATGATACATATAGCTATCGTAGCATCCGTGTGTCATTTAGGTGTATGCGAAAAGTGACGTAGCATAGCATGACGTTAGTTGGATGCGATAATTCAGGTGGCGTTGAAATCAGTTTCTGTTCGGCCTAATTTTCGATGAAACGTTGACTGTTTTACCGACGCGGAATTCGAAGTTCGGCCTCCACGCTAGCATCACCTTAAGGGCACAGACTCCTTGTGCCATGACCTGTATGCGTGCACTCACACAATCAACGGAAAGCATGCACGTATACGCCATGCGCGAGAGAGACACTCGATTTCGTAGATTCCATTTTTCGTCTCGATAATTGCATAAATGAAATTTTCGCGGGTACAGCACACACGAGTAGACTTCGCTACAGGTCGGTCTGGTCCGCTTGAACGCTAATAAACATCATACGTTGAGAAAAATGGAATTTTGGAAACTGTACGATTGAGACAGACGCTGTTGTAAGCAAACAACATGGCTGCCGAATGCTGCGTTCGGCTACATTTTAGCGAATATTGGACGATTTAATCGTTTTTTCACTGATAACAGAGCAGACCAACTTCCCTTGAACTAGCACAATATCACTGAAATTCGATTTTTCACAATTTATCACTTCTGGAAGACGTAAAATGGAATCTACGATTTGCACGCATCAGACGTCAAATAGACATAAGAATAGTTCAGTGATTCTCCGTCAGAGGCATTGATGGTATATTTGACCACGTTATCATCAGGGTCGATAAAAACACAGATCAGTCGATAAATATAAATTCTGATTTGACACCACAAATGGCTACGCGAATATAGCCACAAGTATGGCATAGTTGCCGCAACGTATTAAGACTTCTGTCACGCTGTTGCCACATCTGTTACAATTGCAACAGGCTCGAGCCGATTTTGATTCCTGCCAGACATAGAAAAGAATAGGGCGCTCGAGAGAGAAAGAGGTTCGAGAATGAAACAATACATGTACTAATGTGTGCAACCATCAAACTTTTTTGTTCATATTTATAATCATGTTTTTTTCATCAATTAAATTACAGATAGAATACTTGAAATGGTATGCCAGAAAAATGAATTATAAAACTTGCACCATATACAGTGAAAACTCGATAAATGTACATAATTATTGCCGGTCCACTCCGCAACTGTTATGGAATAGGAGAATCATTTTTCAAATTTGATTGCCTAGTCAGTAAACACTGATTAGAAAGAGTCAGTAGCTGAAGACGAAAGAGGGACTAAAACCGGGATTTATTGCCTTCATTTAAATGCCCCGTGTCAATGTGACCATACTAATGCACAGAATAAAGTTTTTTATTTTGTACTTTTTGTTAATAAAAATTTTACTATCATGTGGAGAAGATTTTTCTGATTAAAATGAAGCTAAACACAATATAAATCGGTCAACATTTAATAGCATAATATTGGGTTAAATGTTGTGCTTGTGAGTCTTTCTCTCTTTGTTTATCCTTCTTGCGCTATCCTTTTCTATGTTCGGAAACATCAAAGAACGGCGGATTCGTGGTGCTGGTAGGGGTAGAATGAATGAAATAATACACATAACGTAAGTACGCGGCCATAAGACTTATAGGAATGAAAACTACCTGACATAATAATTTCAAGAAGGGAATAAGAAATAAAGAAATGAATAATGAATTTTAATATAATTCTGTCACACTTAGACTGGGACATCCTGTATATGCAGGTACAATTATATTAAAATTCATTATTATATTTCAAATGAAAAAGATTTCAATAACACGTGGCTGGAGTGGCTGTCATGGGAATCGACGATGTAGACGGCGCGGAGAAAGAAGAGGCATTGTTTATATTTATTGATTATATTTCAATCGATAAATATTGTATATTATAGATCAATTTACATGTCTTTATTTTTCATTCCTTTCCTGAAATTATTAATGCCATATAGTTTTTATTCCTATAAGTCTTATAGTCGCGTACGTTATGTGTATTACAGAGTCTCATCGAATCTGTCGTAGCGTGTGACTATATTTACGCCGATCGGCCCTACGTTGTTTCATTCATGATACTCCTTCTCTTTCTCTCGCGCTGTCCTTTTCTATGTCCGCCAGGAATCAAAATCTCGCTCGGCTCGAGCAAATTCATTTTGCTAGATGGTCACAGATGCGGCAACACCGCGATAGAACTCTTAAATGATGTGACTTGGCAACTATGCCGCCTCACTTTCGTTTCTTATTCTGCATAATGACGTTAGATGTCACACCGTCAAATGTCGAATTTCTCAATTATGTGTTTTCACGATTGCCCGATTCTTTCCAATGGCGCTTACATCGATTCGGAGGAGGCCTCGAAGGAGTCTGTGCCCTTAAGGTGATGCTAGCGTGGAGGCCGAACTCCGAATTCCGCGTTGGTAAAACAGTCCACGTTTCATCGAAAATTAGGCCGAACAGAAACTGATTTAAGCGCCACCTCAATTATTGCATCCAACTAACGGCATGCTATTCTACATCACTTTTCGCATACATCTAAATGACACACGGATGCTACGATAGCTATATTATGTACGCCACCGCCAAAGTATAAAATACGATACTGCATACATCACCTAGGAAATGTATGAATGACCTAACTCCTTCAGCCAAATATTATATATACATTTATTGTAATATAACATAACCAAGGTAAGCCTGTATGTACATCGTTAGTACATACACAGGATAAGTAATAGGGGAATAAATGACAAGAATGTAAGTAGATAATGAAAATATTTATTATAAAAATACGAATAATATTTATTATAAAGATACGAAAAAAACTTATACTAATTTAATAATAATAAAAATAACCAGTCACAGGTATAATATATAAGGAAAATAATAAAACTCGAAAAACCTTCGATTTCTATCTCGCAATAAATTTTAATCAAACGCATGATTTATTACAACAAAATATACTAATTTAATAATAATAAAAATAAAATTTTATTTTATAATTTTTTCCTGAAATCAAACAAATCATATTTTTATATTATCTTTGTCATTATTACTTATACAGATATTATCGTCGTACTCACTTCAAGTGTGCCGCCCGCAGCAGCAACTACAGCTGCTGCGGCCCGCGCCGCAGTTGTGCGTGCATCCGCACGGGCCGCTGCAGGGGCAGTGACTGCGGCCGCGGCCGCGGCCGCAACCGTCACGGCACGTTGATTGCCGCCACAGCCGCCTCGCATCTCTGCGGCGTTGCCGGAACAGCCGCTGTTCTGACCTGTATGCCTGGAGAAATAAATATAATGTTATTATTCATAAACAATGAATAAGAGAAATAACGTAAAAAAACGACTTACGGTTGGCTGTTCCGGCCCGTAGAGCCCGGCTAATGGGGAGTGATACGTTGGATGCGTCGGCTGGTGTTGCGGCTGCGGCGGCTGGTGCGGCGGCTGGTGCGGCGACTGGTGCGGCGGCTGGTGCTTTAGCTGGTGCTGTGGCTGCGGCTGCAAAAATAAATATTATGATATTATGTATAAACAATAGCAGAAATAACGTATGAACATGAACGCAAAGAAATGACTTACGATAAGTCCAGCATGTTGCCGTTCGCCCAATTCCTGTACTTGCTGCCGCAGGGTAGCAAGCTCCGTTTGGTTTTGTTGCATCTGCAACGATTGTTGCTGTAACAGCTGTTGCAGCTGCAACAGCGGCTCCGCGTCTTCTGCTTTTTTATCTTCAACATCTGAAAACAAATTGGAAAACATGGGTAATATGTACCTGAAATTGAATCAAATGAGTTTCGGTTTCTCGATAGAGCTCGACAAAATTTCCACTCTTCAGCCGATTTTCAGCTGTCTCCGCTTACCGCTATTACCCTTGCCGCGACGTTCATCACGCAGCCGCCGAACCGTTTGAGGCTCAGAAGCGTATCACTCGTAAACGTATGCTGGCAAAAAACGCATCATACGAGTACCTCGTAGGTGGGGTGGAAAGCTATTGTCAGCATATGTTTACGAGTGATACGCTCCTGAGCCTCTAACGGTTCGTTGGCTGCGCGCTGAACGTCGCGACAAGGGGAATAGCGGTAGGCGGAGACAACTGAAAATCGGCTGAAAAGTGCAAATTTTGTCGAGCTTTGACGATGAGCTATACTTTACTAAGATATAAAATTACAATTATTGTAAATCTGGAATAAAATAGTAAAAGTGTATACGCGTGTCCGCGAGACAATATAATATACGATTATTCCAACAATTATTGCAACAATTGTTGCAGAAACCGTTGTGATAGTGGTCTGTTTCATTGTCTCGGGGAGACGCGTCTAAAAAAGGCAATTTTAAAATTTTTTATTTCAGCCTGTGATGAAAATTTAACATTAGAACTACCAAAGGGGTCAAAATGATCGCTTTCCTGTTTCTTATTTGAAATAAAAAAATTTTATCCAGGTATTTTTGCTGTTCTACTGATATAATATTTGTAAAAAATATGTTATGTGTATACTGAACATTTCATCGAGATCGGTCAATACACTGAGAAGTTACAAGTAATTAATTTCTGAAAATCGTGGCTTTTCTTCCAAGAATGTAACTACTTCTGTTCTTAGGCGATTATCTGAAATTTACTTATAACTTCTAAATGCATTGACCGATCTCGATGAAATTTTAAGAATGCACATAACTCATTTTAATGTACGAAAGACATCAATGACACCCGCGAAGTAAAGATAAAAAGAAACACTTACTGTCGGTTTTCTCCATCTTCGATTCCATTACCCTGTTCTCTCCTTGGTAGCCTTCATTGAACTGACGATGTCAGTGAAATTATAAAACGCGACAGCGTTGGCGTTTCGTTTTTGTTTCACATCTACGAAGCGCGTTGCCATGGCCCGCGTTGTCATCTAATTCTTTCTAACAATAAGACGTCTTCACGGTAACGTAGAAGACATATTATTCAAAAAATTTCCAAGCATTTGTGAAAAAAATAAACACAAATGGGAAATCAAAAAGGTAGTATTCGTAAAGGATTGCGTGTAGGGAGAAAACTCTCCCTGAAAAGTGGTTACAGAAAACTGTACGTGTTTCAGATTTATACATTTCAGTAATTTGTATGAATTATCCTATAAATATTTATAATTTTATGCGTTCTACCTTGCAGGCGACAGAAACAACGGCAATTGTCGACAATGAAGATTGACGCTGCTGTAGTTTTCGAAGAAAAATATAATGTACCACTAAAATCTTTTGGGAAAACTGTAAAGGACGATAGTCAGACAGATATGCCTGATAAAAATCCTTCATTTCTCCCAAATAATGTAAAAGATGTGGGGCGCATCTTATCAGAAAACGCCCTTTGCGAAAATAACGATGTGGGGCGCATCTTATCAGAAAACGCCCTTCGCGAAAATAACGATGTGGGGCGCATCTTATCAGAAAACGCCCTTCGCAAAAACGATGAAACTGTCGTTGTACAATGCGAATGTACAAGTGAGAGACTCACTGTACAAAACGTCCTGGACAATAGCGACGACAATTTCGTCGTAGGCGTCGGACACTTTGATGTGGGACGTATTTCGGAAAATGTGCCAGAAGGCCGCCGCGTTGTTGACGTTCACTTCTTCTGGAATGAAATACATAGAACGTTCGACAATCATGCGCGAGGTATTGAATGTCATTTCCGCGATTGGAAAATGATCGGTAGTCGCCAGCATGGGTGTCTGACACAGTTTTTCTTCAAGTGCCAAATGTGCAATTACGAAGATACTGTTTGGTCGGAACCTATGCATTCAGATATAACGAATGTAAATGAGGCCATGACGACCGCGACTGTTACAGTCGGAATCGGCTATGCACAATTAGAAGAATTATGCGCCGCCCTGAACATGCCCTGCATGGCTGAAACGACGTACCGCAGGTACCGTGAAAAACTTGTCGATGAGTTTATGAAAAGCGCAATGCATACCATGCAGACAGCAGGTGAAGAAGAAAGACGATTAGCTTATGAAAACAACGAAGTCGTCGACGGTATCCCGTACATAACTGTCATAGCGGATGGTAGCTGGATGAAGAGATCGTATGGTACGAATTATAATTCACTTTCCGGTGTTGGTGCCATTCTAGGTTTCCGCACAGGAAAAGTTCTGTTTATCAGCATACGAAATAAATACTGCACAATATGTGATATAGCGGAACGAAAAGCTAAATCCCCAAAACATCATAAATGTTATAAAAATTATGATCGTTATGCCAGTTCTAGTAGCATGGAAAGTGATGCTATTGCTGAAGGTTTCAATTGCAGCATTCAAATGCATGGCTTGATATATAGAACGGTTGTTGCCGATGGTGATAGCAACGTCTATCATACTATTGTGAATAACAGACCTTACCGAGAACAAAAAGTAACTGTTAGAAAAGTAGAGTGTACCAATCACTTACTTCGTAATTTATGTAAGAAGTTGAGACACGTTGCGGAGAAAACGCAAACGAAGGGTCAGAGAGCTCGTGGCTATGTTGCATACCGAAATATCATTAAAAAAAATATTTTAAATATTCGTAGAGCTGTTGTTTTAGCAGTCAATGCGCGAAAACAAGAAAAAGGGCCTCAGCATATCAAAGCTAGAGAACTTCAGAAGGACATTTTAAGTATTCCTAGCCATATATTTGGTGAGCATAAGGAGTGCAATAGCCGCAACCATACGTGTATGCCGGACGTAAACAGAGCTGAGAAAAATTACGTTCCATCTTTGAAATTGTTCGGTCTGTATAGCGAAGTCGAGAAAGCCATACGATTCCTCAGCTGCTATTCGGATAGCTTGTTAATGAATGTTACAAACAATCCCGCAGAAACTTTTAATTCAATTATCTGCAAAGAGATTGGTGGAAAACGTATTAATTTTGGTGCAAGAGGTTCCTACAATGCTAGAGTTGCAGGAGCTGTTACGCAATACAATACGCAACAAGTACTTAGAGAAATGCATAAGAACATGTGTAAAACCGTTCCGCCACTAGTAAAGAGATTGGAGGAACGGCGACAAAAAAAAGTTGCAAAAACGAGACAATTTAGAATGACCTATGGTAAGACAAGGAAATTAAAGCCAGTGCAAGGAACGGATAAATATTATGGTCCAAACTCGCAAAGACCAGATCTTCCGAGTGATATGCTGCTTCAACTTCGCAAGGAACATTTTCAAAAGCTTGCAGACAATGCAAAAAATCGTACAATAATAGAAACGAACACAAGAGAGCAAAACGATTCAGATTTATGGAGAACTTTGAAGGAGGAAATGCTAACTGCTTCGAATTTTGGAGCAGTGTGTCACATGAGACAAACAACGTCCTGCGCAGCAATGGTAAAAAACATTTTATATCCTCCATTTGTCGATACCGCTGCTATGAAATATGGCCGCGATAAAGAACACATAGCAAGAAAAGACGTGGCGAACGCAATGAAAACAAGAATTCGAACTTGTGGATTGTTCATTGATCGCGACATTCCATACTTGGGTGCATCTCCTGATGGACTTATCGACGATGACGGTTTACTGGAACTGAAATGCCCGCAATCTGCCGAGAATTTGACAGCGACAGACGCAATAGAAACAATACGTCACTTACGAAACATCTTCGATAAGAGAGATATACAAGAAATGAATAGGAAGCACCAGTATTTCTACCAAGTACAAGGTCAGTTGCATATAACACAGCGGAAGTACTGTATTTTCGCTATCTGGACACCTCAAAGCATACATATGATCCACGTAAATAGGGACGACGCGTTTTGGACGAATCATATGGAACCTTTCCTAACGCGTTTCTACGAAGAATGCATGCTTCCGGAAATATTGGACAGCCGCCATAATAGACACATGCCTATTAGAAATCCAGAATACATACTACGGGCAAAAGAAGACGCATCAATTCAAAAATCTAGTAGAAAAATCACAAAAAAGCGTACATATGAAAACATGATACAGAACAGTGTTGAAGCATCAAATATGACCGTTGAAGCAGTAAATAGCGAGTGTGTCATTGTCAGTCATTCCGACCAAGAAAAATTCATAGATGATGATGTAGGATACTATATATTGGAGACTGCTGTTTCTTCCGTAACTGACGTACAGAAAAATGTACTACCTGTGCAAAGTAAATTAAATTAAATTAATTAAATTAAATTAACGCAAAGTGTCCTATACTTACAGTTTACAAAATTTATCAAGCCCTGCTGTAGTGACAAAAGCGTGCAAATAATTGGAGGCAACTGTTCTGATCACTGGCGAAGTATCTATTTCGACGGTCGCAAACTCCATGTATACGACAGTTTACCTGGCAGTGCATACGACAAGCTCGTAGAGGAAGAAAAAAAATATATTGCATTACGATTTCCTCATATTCGCAAAAATGATATACTTTTTGAAAGAGTTCAGGCGCAACCAGATTGTTACAGTTGTGGTGTATACGCGGCGGCATACATCACTACCATAGTTTTGGGTGGAAACCCTTGCTCAGAAAACTATTCCCATGACATACAGCGGCTGAAATGTCACTTCGTAAATATTATTGAAAATAATAGACTGTCGCCCTTCCCGACAGAATAAGAGAATAGTAATATATTATGCACTGTTGGAGCATAGGCTTATTAGCGAGGTCGTGAAGGTAATTAGTCCGACAATGCGTTAGTAAAAGTTTCATTCAGAAAATGTCAGAAATAAAAAAGCATCAGTCACACCGATATGTTTCGGCTCCTAGCTTAGAATTCTTGGACCTCTCTCTTCTCCACTGTCTGTCCCTTTGTACGTTCACGCTTGGTTCGCGCCGCATGTAAACGCAGAGTTGACGCCACTGTACATTTTTTCTTTGCCTCTTCAAAATTAAGTGACATAACCCTTATCTATGCTTCAACACTTTGTATTCATGTATCTTATTTCCTGTAAAATCCTCTTTTTATTCACGGCCACCAGCAGCATAAAAATGTGTAAATACAGTAAAATCTCGATTCGTGCATTTCAATCGGAACCGAATGCGAACTCGAATCGTGTACAGAACACGTTTCTGGAGTGAGTTCGGCTCGCGTTTGATGTGGTGACAGCCGAGAATCGAGGTGTACAGGAAAAAAGCAAAATACCCGGATACGTGTGAGACAATACTAATGCAATCAAAATTTTTTAATTTTTATAATGAAAATGTAATAATGTATTTGTTAGATTTTTTTGATTAAAACAAGATCAAACATGACATAATTTGAATTATAATTATTTATTTACTTATTTATATCTAAATAAGTAAAAATAATGCAAGTTATATGGTGTTTGGTCTTATTTTAATCAGTAGAACCGTACAATGACATTGGTGAAAGTTTCATTTAGCAAAAACGAAAAATAAAAAAGTTATTGTTGAATTAATGTTGTCTCTCTCAAATGTTTTTTCTCGGGCCGTTTAATTTTCGGACCTCTTTCTCTTTCGCTATTTGTCCTTTCCTACGTTCACCAGGATTGAAGAACTCACTCCAACCGTGTTGTTCTTCCAGCGTCACATTTTCGTTTCCTATTCATCGAATATTTGGGCGTAACGCAAAATCAGGAGAGTCCAGCATAATATCAGATTATATGCTGAAAAAATGTACTACTTATCTGTCTACAAAAAATTTAATACATCTGGCAACATATTTATTTTCGGGATGCTAAGTAATTAGCATTTCACTACTCAATGAAATATGTAAACCGCTGCCTATAGATGTGCGTCTGCGTCAGCACATGCATAAGTGTTGGTTGCCATCCGCTGGCCATTTGTCTTCTGTTTAGAAAGAAGGTCAGGGACCGTAAAAGTTCCATTCATAACTGCATATCCGAGATTTCAAGAAATGTGTATTCAAATTCAATTACAGGTGAATATTATTGATGTGATGGGTTACGTTGCAGCCGTAAAGTGGCCGGCAACGTTTTTCTGCAATAATAATAAGAAGTAAAAAAAAATTGCAAGAAATGCACAAATGCGTATTATAAATAATTTGTTATTATTTCACGAAAGCGTTTCCGACCGCAGGCAGCCGGATGTACATATATACTATAATCTAACTGATTACATCAATAACATTCACTTGTAATTGGGTTTGAATAGACATTTCTTGGAGTCTGGTATATGCAGTTGTGAACGAAACCTTCACCCTCGTTCGACCCTCGTTTGTAAACAGAAAAGTGGCAAGCAATTTGACGCAATGTATGCTGTCACAGATCAACAACTATATTTTTGCAAATTGAATAAATTCGATTGACG